AGCCGCGCCGAGGGTGGCCTTGAGGGCTTGAACATTCCTGTCCTTTCGGACAAAAACATGTCCATCTCCAAAAGTTACGGCGTGCTGAAGGAGGCGGATGGAGTTGCCTTCAGGTAGGTCTACCTTGCTCCCAAAGTCGTCACACTATTGCTTAAACCTTCAGAGGTTTATTCATCATTGACGACAAGGGGACCCTTCGCCAGATCACCGTTAACGATATGCCGGTTGGTCGATCCGTGGAGGAAGCCCTGCGACTAATAGAGGCCTTCCAGTTCACCGACAAATACGGAGAAGTCTGCCCAGCGAACTGGCGCCCGCGTAAGAAGGCCATGAAGCCAACAGAAGAGGGAGCAAAAATATTTTTTTCTGAGCACTGACCTGAGCATACTTACTAACCTTTAATGCCAAGAAATAAATTTCATTTTCCCTAACTTTATTCTTTTCGCCGCTGTTAGACCCTAGATTGGTATCAACTACTGTGGATGTTTAAAAGTTGGTTGATGTTGAAACGGAAAAGCAGCGAGGGTGAAACAGAAGAAGGGAAAGGAGATCTCTAGGAAAAGTCTATTACCAATCCAACGTGCGGAACAGTCGAACCCACTGGCATTTCATGACTTCTTGAAAGAGGTAAGGGCAGGATGATAAGGGCGAGCTTAAAAAAATCAACAGAAAGGACACGGAACTAGCTACCTTCCGTCTTACATGTGGCCTAGTGTTAAATTCCATGAGGGGATGGAGTTAGGAATAAGGTTTGGATTACGTTAAGTGCTAGGGTAAGGAGTAAGCGTGGAACACGGGCAAAGGTTTCACTAGAATTAAGCGCGGGGTCACCTCTGATGCTGGGGGGGGTGCCTTTTTCCATGTGCAACCAATCAGCAGTTAATTTGAGCAAAATGGACTGTCAATCCTGTCCTTTATCTCAAGAATCTAACGACCTATCGGACAGAACAACCCATCCAAGCATTAAACTAGCCTCTGCTACCATCACGATGGACCCCGAAGAAAGGCGCCACCACCGTTATCCTAACAGTTAGATTGTGAGAAATAATAAAGACATAAGGGCAAGTCAAAGATTGATTAGGGAAAAGATCAAACAGATTGAGAGACTATTTTCGGTTCTCTCTGGTCTTCTTATGCGGTTGAGAAACCGCACTAATATCGTAAGGACTTTGTTTCCTTTTCGTCAATGGACAGTCTACTCTACAAACCCAAATGTTCTGACAGTGCAGCCCCCAGTCCTCTTAAACATTAATTTCCGAAAAATCTTTAGTTTTCGAGGGCACGTCCAGGAGTACCTGTTGGCAAATATGGCGCTTTCTCATTAAAGATACGGGAAATATATCACGTAAGGGGTTCCAGATAAAAATGAATTTATTAATGCGTAGCCGGACAAGAACAAAGAAGGTCGGGTATGTAAACCCTCGAGTGTGGGGAGCTGACCGAGCCTCTTCTGGAGACAAGTCTATAATAGTCGTGAATAAGTCCTGTAACGCAAATAACAAACATGTAACATGTAACAAACATGTAACCTTCTAAACGACAGAAACCTACTGAAATCTCTCCACGGCTGAGCAAAATGCTATACATGGGCATCTAAACAATATAAAATTTCGAGTAATTTACTACTAATGGAAGCCAAATAGTTAGTCGCTTTGAAAACAGTAGCTTATAGGCACCATACGCATGAGGAATAACTTATGAGGGGGTGGAAGTCTCAAGGGTAATGAAAGTGAGACAGCCGTGAAGACCATATGAAGAAGTGTAGAGAAAGCACTTTGGAAAACGATGGTTTATTAGGTGAATTTTCGAAGCTG